AGGCCAGAAAGAAGAATTATAAATACAAAGAGAGGTGTCAGTAACATAGTATGCTTTAAAAGGAGAAATCACAGACATTCATTTTTTACTTTTAAAATATATTAGGACTCATGACGCATCCTAAGGATGAGCACTTGGGATAGGAACCAAACTTTCACAGTGACCAAATAACAGAATCAACAGGGCCAGAATACAAAGACAGTGTCACCGGTCTAATGATCAATGCCTCAAATACACTTCCATCATGTGGTATACATGGGGCTGCCATTAAACACTCTTTAGCCATTCTGGATTCCCAGTGTGGTGTAGTGGATAGAGTGACGGACCAGGACTCCGCAGAACAATGTTCAAATGCCCACTCAGCCATGGAAACTGATCGGGGGATGTAGAAATGGTAAGAACACTCCTTAAATATCTCACCTTGTATAGGGTCACTGCGTACAGAATACCTGATGGCAAAGGGGGGGGGGAGCTAGACTGGTACATGGTTGCATTTTATATATCATATATTACCAGGACTGAATCAAGTGTGGTGGATTCCAATTTGCCCCCAGCTCTATTCAAGGTGCTGATTTTGACCTAAAAAGCCCTACCTGGGCCTAGGATTTCTAACACTTCCATCATGTGGTATACACGGGGCTGCCATTAAACACTCTTTAGCCATTCTGGATTCCCAGTGTGGTGTAGTGGATAGAGTGACGGACCAGGACTCCGCAGAACAATGTTCAAATGCCCACTCAGCCATGGAAACTGATCGGGGGATGTAGAAATGGTAAGAACACTCCTTAAATATCTCACCTTGTATAGGGTCACTGAGTACAGAATACCTGATGGCAAAGGGGCGGGGGAGAGAAGCTAGACTGGTACATGGTTGCATTTTTTATATCATATATTACCAGGACTGAATCAAGTGCGGTGGATTCCAATTTGCCCCCAGCTCTATTCAAGGTGCTGATTTTGACCTAAAAAGCCCTACCTGGGCCTAGGATTTCTAAAAGACCTTATAGGGTCACTGAGTACAGAATACCTGATGGCAAAGGGGCGGGGGAGAGAAGCTAGACTGGTACATGGTTGCATTTTTTATATCATATATTACCAGGACTGAATCAAGTGCGGTGGATTCCAATTTGCCCCCAGCTCTATTCAAGGTGCTGATTTTGACCTAAAAAGCCCTACCTGGGCCTAGGATTTCTAAAAGACCTTAGCTTCCCATATGAACCTCAATGGAGGCCTTGTTACATGAGGAGGCTAGGCTAGTGAGTACAAAAGGTAGGGCTTCCTCTATAGCAGTGGTCCCCAACCTTGGGCCTCCGGATGTTCTTAGACTACAACTCCCAGAAGTCTTCACCACCATTTCTGCTGGCCAGGATTTCTGGGAGTTGAAGTCCAAGAACATCTGGAGGTCCAAGGTTGAGGACCACTGCTCTATAGCAACCCCCTCAATTGCAGAACTCTCTCCCCAGAAACATCAGGCTGGATTCATCACTATTTAGAGTTCTGGCATGTAGCCACAGCTGTGTCTTGCCATAGGGCCTTTGGTCTTTAAACACAGTGTTGAAATTGGCTCTTAGAACTGTATCTGCCATGTTTTTAAAGAATACTGATTTATAGAGAACAGGCTTTTAATAGAAATTTTGAACATGTTCTTATGAGAATATCCTTATCCTTCCTACAATTCTTTGGGACTCTGGCAAAAAACAATAAACAAATACATGAAATATATAGTGAATAAACTCTGCAACATGGGTTTATTCCTTCTCTAAATCCTGACAATTTCAAGGAGTGGAATTCTAAAATAAATAAATAAACAAACAAATGAGGTCATTTTGACATGTGTTTTTTTTTAAAAAAAAACCAGTTTTGCGAAAATATTGCATCATAGAAATACGTAACATGCACGAAATGGCAATCCAGATGTAAACACACAGCATCTACCCCCATCTCTTAAAACTGAATCACAATTCCCTATCAAAGTGCTGTTTCCCCAACCTACTGAAAGATAGCTGCTAACAGAAGGAGATTTCGATGTAAACAATAGAAATGGATGTATCTGTTTAACCTTAATTTTGAGGAATAACACTCTTAGATGGGTTAGAAGGCTCTGCTTCACTGCAAAGCAGTGTTTCAGGAATTATAATAACCATTACCTTGTACCAGGTTTCAGAAAAGTACAGGTTAAAGAATTCCTATACATGTTCATTTAATAATTTTCAATTTTCATAAACTGAATTAAATTATGTCTGTATTCTTTGCTCCCCTCTGAGCAATTCAGTAAGAACCTACTATGGCAGATACTGCAGGAACACAGAACTTGTTGTTAAGCACAGAACCTGCATCCCTTCTGTACCAAAACTGTACAGAAGGGATACAGTCAGATGTCTCACAGAACTGAAACACATCTCACAGTGGTTGCCTCATCTACCACTGCTTGGGGAAGACATACACAGACAATGAGGAATGTGTTGTGTGTTCCCAGTGTAACACTCAACACAAAACATGGTACTCATGTCACCATTTAAGCAAGGATTCCACAAGGTTGAATAAACAGACTAACAAGAATTTCAACGTGTCTTTCAGAAATTTTGAAACTACTGCTCTTTTTATAATGGATGTAAAAGTACAGTGCTCTACATTCAGAAATGTCTGTCAGCTTTTCACTTTGACTGTGTATATGGGTTTCCTCACAACTAAGTATCATCATATATAGACAAATGAAAATGTTCTTCAGTGGAAAACAGTACCTCACAATGTTGGCGGGAAGCTTGAATCTCACATTCATATTTGTTTTTCACAGACTCTAAACAGAGCTCTCTGTAGATACCTACAAACACATGTGGTTTTTTTTTGTTTAAATCTAGTTTAGAAAAGACAACACAGCATCCATAAGTCTCACTCAATAACAAATATTCTGTAGAAAGAAATTGGCTGTTCATTTGAGCAATGTGTAAAGAAGCTTAATTATAAGACCACTGAAAGATCTCCATTGTTCTGTATTTGCTTAAATATTCCTATGAAATCCACACATTAGTAGTGGCTAACAGTGGCCCTGTGGGTATTGCTGGACAGTAACTCCTACAAACCCTCATCAACAAAGCTAATGATGAGAGATTATGGGAAACGTAGTTCAGCAACATCTGGAGAGCCACACTTCTTCACCGCTGCTATAGACCCTTAGAAGAAACCATAAAACAATGTTTGCCATCATTATTTATGTGAGAAAGTCAAACGCTTTAGATCATTACTTTCAATAGCAGTCTCTTCCATTACCTAACTACCCATAAAAAACCTGCATACACCCAAATTCAAGCAAGCTTCAGAAATAACCTCCATGAAGCACAAGAAGATACAACCCAAAACATAAGTGAAAGTCCTTGGCATCTGTGCACAAGCCACTGTGAATCCCCAAAGGAGCACCTCAAGTCATGGCATAAACCATGGATGCAGCTCAGTGTGTGCATTCAATGATGTTTACAATCAATTTACCTCCTGAATTGATTTACCTCCTAAGACTCTCCTTCCCAATGGGCCCCAGAACTGCTTCCCCCCCACCAGGTTCTTGATCTAGAAAGCAGATTAGATGTTTGATGTACAAGCTGATGAAAACCAAACCAGAAGGGAAGTACTGACTGTGAACATGGACAAGTACGTGCGCTTTACCCTTTACTAGGCAGTCAGACAATTGCAATACGGATTTTTTAAAAAAACTGCCAGAAATACAGAGCAAGTCTGCTTTACTTGCCTGTGGCTAATGATAAACATAACCTCCAAGCCACAGAGATTCACGTTTATGACACAGAATTCTATAAAATCAGTAGAATTCTATAAAATCAGTAGCAAAAGGCTACTATTGCATATAGGAAGAATGTTCCTGGAAGACTAATGGTCTGTCTGAATACAACCTGGCTTAATAAACCCTGACTTATAAAGCTGGAAATAAGCATCTGATCTTTGGGTTTCCTTCTTACAGTCTTCAATCCTGGTCTCTTCAAGCCACAGTTTCCCAGTATATCTGAAACAGGAAACTGTGTTCTGATGTGAGCTTACTGGCTGGAATCCTGAATTACTATAGCATTTCTTGTTCCAGAACATTGTCAGTATGTCAACAGTAAGCCTTAATTGATTGATTTGGGCTCAAGAGGAACCTACCAGACAACGACTTAAATGGCAAAACTTCTGGGCAAGGCTAGTTGAAGGAGGGAGTGGGGAGCGCAGGCTTGAAGTTCATTCCAACCAGTTGAAAAAAAATTATGGTTTATTAAGCCTAGTACAGTTCATCAGAACTGGCCCTCTGAGGAGCACTGATGCCATAAGAGAAACACAGTGTTTCCCAGTACGTATATCTGAAACAGGGAACTGTGTTCTGATGTCAGCTTACTGGCTGGAATCCTGAATTACTATAGCATTTCTTGTTCCAGAACATTGTCAGTATGTCAACAGTAAGCCTTAATTGATTGATTTGGGCTCAAGAGGAACCTACCAGACAACGACTTAAATGGCAAAACTTCTGGGCAAGGCTAGTTGAAGGAGGGAGTGGGGAGCGCAGGCTTGAAGTTCATTCCAACCGGTTGAAAAAAAAATTATGGTTTATTAAGCCTAGTACAGTTCATCAGAACTGGCCCTCTGAGGAGCACTGATGCCATAAGAGAAACACAGAAGAAAAATACAAACATACACTTCCATCTTTTTGAGACACAGAACAGGCCTGTATTCTTATGAAAGTCTCCATATTCAATCATTACCCAAGTACAGACCCAAAAATTGTACTGTAGTTGAGAGTTAGAAACTAACAGATTCAAACCCTTTTGTTAACGTTTCACTTCCGTCCAGGCTCTGCAGGATGCAGCTAATTGAGTCAACAACAAGCACTTCATGCACTTACCTGCCACTTTTGTTCGGATTTGCATGTTTTCTTGCAGAGCTGCCAGTGGTTCTAAGTACTCTGGTGCCTTTCCCGCAATGACCTCCTGTAGTTTTGCATCCACTTGGCTTAATCTCTCTTTGTAAAGTCTTTAACGTAATGAAGATGAAGATGGAGTGCATTATATCAAAGACACGCAGAGATCAGCATATATTAATATTTCTAAGAATCTCTTTCCCTGGATGCCATTGGCCATACTCCAGCAGATCATTAAGCCCATCAACAAAGCCGAAATTAGCCACACCCAAAAACAGACTGAAGTGTACCATAAACTACAGCAAATTTACCATGTACACATGATTTGGGCTGGATCCAGATTTTGCATTCTGTGAATTAAAAGATCCCTTCTGTCCATAAATGCCAAATAATTTACCAGACAATTTACCCTGGTGAGAAGGGGAACAAATGTAGCGAATCTGCCCTTTCTATTATAGCAACTGGCACCTCTGAAAATCTGTCCCAAAGAGTTCTCCACTGCCGTGGAGCCAGCTTTGGAGAGTACAGGCAGCTGTGGCTGGCAGGGGAAATCAGCAAAATTCACCTCCCTCCTCCCTAGAAGAACCCCTGGAGCAGACGTACACTGAAGGGATGCTCCTGCACTGAGGAACAAAGCCTGAACCCAAACCAATATCTTCAATCATCCTGGTTACAGGGCCAAATTACAGGGCAGAATGAGGCAGCAGGTTTGGTGGGTCATGGAAGGACAAAAAAATGTGACTTATTTTGTTATGACTGTCTGATTAGTGCTAGAGATAGAAGCTAGCCGTTGTGGGATTTCCTGACTCAGATGCCAGATCAACCAAATCAAACCCAATCTGCAAGTTATCCAAGATTCAGTTTGCAGCATCACTAAATAGAGATGAGGAAGAGTCCTGTCCAAAGACCTGGAAAGTTACTGCCAGACAAGGCAGAGGGTGCTAAGAGAGCAGTTCTCTATACACAAACTTGGCAGTAAGCCTTGCAGAGCATACCAGAACTTACTTCCAAATAAATATAAATCAGATTGCACTGCATGAATGGCTTGATTTAGTAGAAATGCATTTCTATGTAATTTTTAAATTGCAGAATCTAAAGGGGCATCGACCAGAGCTAACTGCAAAACAGTGGAAGAGAAACAATCAGACATATATATTGAGAATTAGGAAGCACAATGTTCTCTGAGCATTAGTTCAGGCACCAAGTTAGATTTTACTGCTCTAGACAGAGTCTGCAATCTTTTAACACACAGGCAAACAAAATGCATTCTTAATCTTCTCCCCTGATTTGTTCAGAACCAGAATGGGGAATACGTGTATTTTTATATACAATTCAAGATTGAGTAGTCTAAAATCTTTGCTAATTTCTACTAAATCCTCCAGAGAACTACCAGCAGATCCCTATCTAACAGATGCCTACTCTTGCTCCTACGACACAAGAGATACAGGGTGGGTGCAAATGAAAGGGAATTCAAATGAAATTCTAAGTCATTGTTTTACTTACTGATCTTTGAGGTCTGTAAACTGTTTTTCAAGATTGGACATCTCATCTAAACACTCCATTCTTCTCCTTTCGCAGTCCTCGTCATCCATTTCTGAGGAAAGAATTATCCACTTTAAGAATACATCCTCACTCTGTCTCCTTCATTTTATTGTATATAATATATGCCTAAGATGACCAAATTAACTCAGCTAGTGTTCTTAAAGATGAGGTTTCAAGAGGACACATTCTCTGAAAGGCCTTTTCAATTACTGGAAAATGTATCAAGCACATCAAACTAGACCCCAAACCTTTCCTTCTATTTCACAACTGATCCTGGAAAAGAACCCAATTGCTCAGGCTTGCACTTCACTCAATTTGAACTTCATCTCATAGCCAACTACTTTAATATTTTAAACTATTGTCCAACAAGGAGCCGTCAAATCCGAATGAGTCGATTAACAGGACGTGGCATTGGTAACAATACCTCAGACGCCTCCAGTTAGAACAATAAACAGATCGGGGAAAGAGTTTCACAGTCTAAGTCAATGGTACCCAACTTTGGGTAACCCAGGTGACCTTGGACTCCGACTACCAGGAACCCCACCAGCAGCACCGCTGGTGATGAAGGCTTCTGGGAATTGTAGCCAAGAACACCTGAGTCACCCACGGTTGTGAACCACTGGTCTAAATTGTGAAGTGGTATGGCTCCTACCGAAGAAGAAAAGCCTCCCACAACATTTGAAAATGCTTTCCAGACTGGCAAGTACTGTTGCTCGCCATGAGATATAACACTGCCTGGTCTGGATTAAATTATATTAAGACAACTGTAAAGCAAGTACAGTATCTCTTTTGCTACTCATGTGCACCAGACCCAGGCCTTGCACAATAACAGGAAGGGGGGGGGGATGGATTTTCCTAGGAATGAGATATTGTTGCAAGCTATCCCGCAAGGGACATGATGAAGCCTCTGTGCTGTAAGATCTATAGACCTGCAGCTGTAAGATCGAATCCACGTGACGGAGTGAGCGCCCATCGCTTGTCCCAGCTCCCGCCAACCTAGCAGTTTGAAAGCATACAAATGCGAGTAGATCAATAGGGACCACCTCGGTGGGAAGGTAACAGTGTTCCATCTCTAAGTCACACTGGCCATGTGACCATGGAAGATTGTCTTCGGACAAATGCTGGCTCTATGGCTTGGAAACGGGGATGACCACCGCCCCCTAGTGTTGAACACGACTGGACAACAATTGTCAAGGGGAACCTTTACCTTTACTTTTATCTCTGTTGTACTGCAAAGGATTTGAGAGTGTTTTTACAAAATTCCACCTTCTCATTTATTAATATGGACCAATCCAAATGCCAACATTTTGGACTCTTTGGCGGGAGGAACAGCTGTCAATGGGACCAGTCAAGATGAGCACAGGCATAAACTGTCATCGTTACCACTATACTACTGTTTGTGACTTTCCTGAACCAGAATGCATACAAATGGGTAGCTATAAACAATTAAAAGCAAATCAATTTGCAACTTCATAGTGCTTTTATTAAACCAAGGAGTGTGCAATAAAACCTTGTGTCAGGATGACAAAATGTGCTTTGTAACAATCACTGGGATCCAATTCATGTTAGCAACCAGGCGTGCAACTGAGACATGCCCCTGCGTCACACAAATGAGCTGCATTTTACCCATGGTAAGCTACAGAAAACTTATATAAACACAGTTAGAGTCTAGCTTAGCTCTGCTTTGGAAGAAAAGACAGATTTTGATGTCATTCAAACTCAGCAATGGGAACCCTGAAGCCCACAGGGTGCACGAAGCCCACCAAGTTCAGTGTGTTCCCACCCAACCTCTTGTGCCCCACAACCTATCTGGTGTTTGCACAAATCAACACATGAAGAGGTTAATGTGCTGTGCAGAAAGCCACATCAGAAGCAGACTGTATCCTCCTCTACAGATGGGTCTCTACAAGCATCATTCTAATGCAGACTGTCCTCTTCAGACTGTTGCTTTCCATGTGAAGACAGTCATAATGAATAATGGGCTAGCATACTTCCTTCCCTGTATGAGAATATTAACCCCTTCAATGAAATTCTCTACATGCATGTAAGCACACTAATAAGGATGACCTACTTGAACACTAAAGATGCAATTCTATGGTCCCTGGAGTTCATTTCTGAATCAAGATTTGAAACAAGGAACATATCCTGCTGACTCCTGTCACTCTTTAATACAAGAGCATGAGAGTTATCTTGGAATGGTTTCCAAAGAAATATGTTACAATTGCTGCATGCAACGATCATGCATGTGTGATAGGTACTTATCTTGCCTCTGCTCCAGTCTCATGCATGCTTCCTTCCCTCTTGTCTCCCAGAGTGATTATGAGGAATAATTTAGCTTTTACTTCTGTTTTTAGTTGACCACAGTTTACCCTGTTGTCCAAACCCTAAATTGTGATTAACTCTTGGTTTTGTTTTTTTGCTAAAACAATTTTTTTTCATAAACCACAGTTAGAAGTCAGCTTGTTCCAAACAAACCACAGCTAAGATTAATCACAGCATGAATTTAATCACAGATGACACAGGAAACAGTGGTTACTAAAAAAAATGGAAGCAAAATATTTTGAACTCATATTCACTGTTGTTCCAGTAGGGAAAGGGAGCAGTAGGAAGGCTAAGCTCACTTTCATCATAATAAAGCATAGATCATGCCAATGTCTGAATGCAGCCACCTTCAATCATTTATTTGTAACTTAGCAATGTCAAGACCAATTTGCATTCATATGTCATGATGAATCAGAATTCAAGACAACTCCACGTTGTTGTGGATGAGCCAATGTGTCACTGCACACTGCCCGATCACTCCTATGTGCAGTGGGAACAGCTAAAGGAACCACAGAACTTTGATCCATGGTCTACTTATTGCAACATATGAAGTCAGTAGGGAAGCCAGCTTCTCAGCATGTGTCTCTCCCAACAAGTCAGAGAATTAATCACAGAACCAATCCTGGCTAATTTGCAGAACTGCCTCCCTGCTAGGTTTGCATGTCACAATAAACAAGCTATGGTCTGTTTAGCTACTCTCGTTGTAAGCATGAGTGATAGGGCACTGTGCACAGTACCTGACTTGTCCCAGATGAGCCTGGATTCCTAAGCAGCCCTGCCTTATCATGAAGCACAAAGGTGACCAATATTTTAGGAGTGAGTAGTAACCCCTGGTAGTAGAAATCACAGCCCAAGACTCCAGTGATGCATTCCTAAGAGGATGTAGAGATGATCTGCTGGCATTCTTTTTGTGTTTGAATAAGGAAGAGATGGAAACAAATGAAGTCAGCATGTACTACAGATGAACAAAATTTGTACAGAGTCAGAAATATGCTCATGATTTCTGAGATGTACTCCTCTGCACCACTACGACTTGCCTTGTTTAAAATAACTGACAATTTTTATGCTACCTGAACTCCCATCAGAACATGATGGAAAAACAGTACATGCTGATTTGAAACTCTTGACACACTCCACTAAAAAGGCATACATGACAAGCAAGCTCTGAAATACTGAATAATCCTAAAAAGAGTGGTCTTGCTATTGTTTTCAATACACAGGGAATCGAAGTGCTATTATGTTCCCCGAGGCAATGATACTAATTTTATGTTTCAGAAACTGAAGTTAGAATTCATTAATTTAGGCCTGTAATTTAGTGCTCGACAATTTGATGCAGCAGGATTCTGAGTTTTAAAGGTTCAGCCATGGTGCAGCCTATCTGCAATAAAGCCCTGAATTAGGAGTATGGTTTTCCAGAATTATATATATATTATATATAATTTAAATATGCTAACATACTGTCTTTGCTTGGAAACGTTAGTGTAATGAAACAGAGATTAGAAATTAAGTCAGATGAAAAAAATAATGATCAATTAATGTTTATCATGTTAGTGACATGCCTCACAAACGAAATAACCCAGCCAAGTAACAAATTGGAATAAAGGTACTCTGTTAAAACACTATTGCTGTTTCACAATTAAAATAATTACTGAAATCCTATTGCAGTTCCGCCTGCACAATGGGAGCAACATCACTGAGAAAGGAAAGCTGTTACTAATTAAAGGCTTTGTTTTGTCATTTTGAAGTGCATATGGCGTGCACACAATGCAACCAAGAGACATGTATCCCGAAATTGGTAAAGGAAGCCTTTAATCAGCAGCACTCTGCCACTGCCAACGACTCTACCCAAATGCATTTCAGCCAATGGCTCTTAAAACCGTTTAAAATTTGAATACTGAGGTAATGAATTAATTTTTAACAAATTACTTCCAAGGTCTGATTTAGAAATGCAAATTTAGTAATAACTACTAGGATTAGTTACATTTTCTATACTACAAAATCAAATAATTTTAATTAATTTCATATCAGACCCAATGAAATAAAGTATTGAACCCCATATCAAGATGACAGAGACTCTTCAGTTACATTTGTTTTAATTCAAAGAAAATGGTTGGTAGTTTATTTTCGTAAGATTTCTCTTACGCACACAACACCTGAAAAAAGAGACAACATTTGCACCAAACAGGATTTAAAAAGCAAGTGATAGACAAGTCAAAGGCAAATCACCACTACAAGGTTGAGGATAGCACATTAATCACCCCTCCTATTTCCCAGAAGTTTGTTCTTGCCAGGCAATGATTTTGCAGGATCTTTCCTTAATTTTAACATCCTTGGAATCACTCTCCACCCTGAACTGGCATGGCAAGTTTCAAGGGCCTTTCCATTGGCACCAGAAGATGCCTCAGATTCTGGGAAGAGAGATGCACAGCCCTTAAAAATAGTTTCAGGACTACATGGGACAAATCTTACAAATGCCTCTAGAGATCCCTCCTTCGCAAAGTTTTGTTTCGTTTAGTGGTTTAGTTGTGTCTGACTCTTCGTGACCTCATGGACCAGAGCACGCCAGGCCCTCCTGTCTTCCACTGCTTCCCGTAGTTGTGTCAATTTCATGTTGGTTGCTTCGCAGACAATGTCCAGCCATCTCATCCTCTGTTGTCCCCTTCTCCTCTTGCCCTCACACTTTCCTAACATCAAGGTCTTTTCCAAGGAGTCTTCTCTTCTCATGAGATG